AAAATAAGCCTTGGAATTGTAATACAAGTTAGTTTCTCATAAGATATAAGTAATAATAGTTATTTCTATAGCAATTTAAAAATATTTATCATTAGAATTATTTTTTTGTAAGCATCTAAATTCAAAAGTTGACATAATTGATTACTGGTTRTCTAAACTTAGGATTGTTGAATTCAAATTGAACGCTAATAGTAATGCGTATCATAGACATTATCAAACCTGAGGTATACACGAAACTTACAACCGTAGATACAGAGTTGAGTGAGTCGAATATGATCTTCTTATATTTTAAATGTTTGTTTTGTTTTTAGAAYTAGGCCTCAGCTGACTTTATAATATTATTGTATACGACCGGGTATTAACTATACGCACTTGCTAATTATTGCGCGCGCGCGCGCGCGCGTGTGTGTGTGTGTGTGTAGGTTTTACGACGACGAGTGACTGATTTCGTTAGAGCTTTGATTTGTTGCGGCTTCTTTAACCGAATTCCATTCAAGTCCAGTTCGTATATTATTACATAATGGCGAACCTAACACACACGCACGAGCGTTGCCAACAAAAATACGAAATACAACACGCACGACTATAATACAAGTACCTACGTTTTGATAACGGCGCTGTAAATTGTTATTACCTATTTTTCTCGTTCATTCGCAAACTCTTGAAATACCTACATATTATATTATTATTGTTGTTGTCGTTATTATTATCATACCACGCAACAGCTTTTCTCAGAGGATTATTTATGATATATTTGYTAGTTATTTTATATTCTGAGCGGAGCGAGGAATTTATTGGTTTTACAATTATGTTTATTTCTTTTTCTTTTTTATTCTGTAAACACCTTTTCTCCCTCTAAACTTGCTCAAAAGTATCAAGTGTAGCATCTTTTCTGAAAGGTAATGTTCTCGAGCTGGTACTTTAAAGGCGTTATTTTTTGATTTTCGAAACGGTACTTGAAATAAAAGCRGTTAAAGGAGAAAAAGTACGATTTCACGATTTTATAATATTAAATAATTACGGACGACGTTTTCTACCAGAAATATTGCTTCAAATGAAAAATAACAAGAGATATTTTTAGTTGTATTTTGGATTTTGTTCTTTAC